CCTTAGAGGTGGTCAGATGTCTTGTCTTTGGATGTGACATTCTAGTTTGCTTTCCAACCTGATATTCACCACAGACTCTCCCTTCATCAATCTGAAGCCTTGGAATCCCTCTGACAGCCTCCATGGATATGATCTTTTTCATCCCTCTAAGATGTAAATGACCAATTTTTTGGTGCCACAGTTTCATTTCCTTTTCTTCTTTGGCTATAGAGCATACAGAAGAGTAGTTAGTGTTCTCAGACTCTCATAAGTAACAGTTGTCTTTTGATCTAACTCCTCTCATTACAACTTCTTGTTTTTCATTAGTTACAAGACATTCAGACTTGGTGAAGTTGACCTTGAATCCTAGATCACATAGTTGACTGATACTTATGAGATTAGCAGTCAAACCATTTACCAGCAATACTTCATTTAGGTTTGGAACTCCAGGGCAGTCCAAGTTTCCAACTCCTTTGATTTCTCCTCTAGCACCATCTCCAAAAGTGACATAACTAGTAGTATGAGGTTTGACATCATTCAGCAGATTCTTGATTCCAGTCATGTGTTTAGAGCATCCACTTTCAAAGTACCAGTCTTCCTTGGCAGAAACTCTAAGGGAGGTGTGAGCTATCAGGGCTGCAGTCTTTTTCTTCCACTGTTGAGTATATGGTGCCTTGTTAGTCTTAGGTTTGACATGTGGGGTCTGATTAGGATATCCATATAATCTGAAGTAGAATGACTTTATGTGACCAAACCTTCCACAATAATGACATCTCCATCTTTGATACTTTTTCTTCATATTTCTCTGTTCTTGATGTTGAGTCCTATGTTGTGACATCTTCTTTGACATTTGTTTATCAGGCCTGGTCTTCATCTTGTCAACAGCAGATTCCTTTGCAGCCATAAATCCTAGACCAGACATGTTTCCTGCATTTTGTCCAGCCTGAAGGATTTCTTCCAACTTGTCAGTTCCATTTGTTAACATCCTGACAGACTTAGTCATCTGATCAAGTTTGGAGTTCAACATTAGAACTTCACCTTCGAGATGGCTTATAGTAGCAGTGTCTGCCTTCTTCTCAGCCTCCAACTTTACTATGAGCTTTTTCTGTTTCTCATTTTGCTGACAGACTTCAGCACTTCTGATACATAGCTTCTTGTAGGAGTCAGCAAGTTCTTAAAATGTCACTTCCTCATCACTAGAACCATTATCAGAGTTACAAATGCCAGATAGTGCAGTAACTAGTTTAGCAGATTCTTCTTCAGAGTTACTTTCTGAGTCACCATCAGACCAAGTAACAGACATTCCTTTCTTTTGTTTCTTAAGAAAGGTAGGACATTCAACTCGAATGTGCCCATATCCTTCACATCCATGGAATTAGATTCCTCTGCTTTGATTTCCCTTTTCTTCAGACTTAGTTCTTCTGCTGGAGTCATGGGATCTGCTAATGTCAGGAAATGTTCTTGACATTTGACCTTGACTTTGGGTCCATTCTCTTGATGAGTTTGTTGAACTGTCTTCCAAGCATAGCTATAGCTTCTGAAATATTCTCTTCATCACTCTCCTTGCTTTCATCTTCAGTATTGGATACAAAGGCTATGCTCTTGTTTTTCTTGTCAACATTTTCACTGATCCCCATCTCAAATGTCTGAAGTGACCCAATGAGTTCATCAACCTTCAAGTTGCAGATATCCTGAGCTTCCTCTATAGCAGTCACTTTCATTGCAAACCTTTTAGGCAAGGATCTGAGAATCTTTCTCACCAGCTTTTCTTCTGACATCTTTTCTCCCAATGCTCCTGAGGTGTTGGCAATTTCCAATATGTTCATGTGAAACTCATGAATGGTCTCATCTTCCATCATCCTTAGATTCTCAAATTTGGTAGTGAGCATCTGAAGTCTTGACATTTTTACTTTGGATATACCCTCATGGGTGGTTTTGAGAGTGTCCCAAACATCTTTGGCCAGTTCACATTGATGTACTAGTCTGAATATGTTTCTATCAATTCCATTGAACAAGGCATTTAATGCTTTAGAGTTACCCAGGGCTAACTCATCTTCTTCTTTGCTCCATTCTTCCTCAGGTTTCAGACTAGTTGTCCCATCTTTCCCAATTATGGTGGGATGGTTCCATCCTTTGTCAACAGCTCTCCAAGCCTTTTTGTCCAGTGACTTCAAGAAGGCAATCATACGAGGTTTCCAGTAGTCATAATTTGATCCATCCAGAATAGGTGTTATGTTCCCAAATCCTCCTTCCTTGTCCATAGCGCCAGAAAATAATATCCCTAGATCTCACCCAGAAAGACAGGCAGGGTGCCCACTCTGATGCCAATTGAAATTCTGGCAACAGATACTTAATGTCACAGTGAATGTTATGACACTGTATCTGACAAATTACACACCAAACAGTAATTTAAAAGACAGTAAAGAACACAATCAATTGTTAACCCAGTTCAGTGTATAACAACACCTACTCTGGGGGCTACCAAGCCAGGGAGGAAAATCACTATAAGAGGAATTAATTTAGGAATAAACCAACCAGTTTATCTCCTTCACTTAAGACCTACCCAATGCAACTTCAATCTAAGTCCTACTTAAACCTGAGTTCCTACTCACTCCCCCTCAATCACAGCAGTGATACTAATCTACTGATTAATAAGATTATGAAGACATTCTTCAATACACACGCTTGATTTTGCTTCAAAGCTTTAATCAAGAGACACAACACTCGTGCTTCAAAGCTTTGAGTGATAAACAACCCTTACAACCAAATCCTACTCCAAGTCACTTATCAAACTGATAATTGCTTGGCTCACAGTAGTTACAACTATACAATGCCTTATTGATCTTCTGTCAAAAGCGCTACTCACCATTAGGCCTCGTGAGAAATATATAAGCAGACTATTCTTCATTTAGGGCTTCCATAAAAATAGCTAGGGTTAACCAAAGTTAACCTAAAGACTTGGTCTTGGGCTTTCATCATAACAGATTATGGTTAAACAAGGTTAACCTAATGTCCACGTGAGCATCTGATCTGGACAATATACTTCATCTCTGAGTAGCACACCAGATTCCTGAAAATTCTCAGGAATAATAAATCTGCACAACAACTTGATCAGTACAGGATGTCTTAACATTGGTTATGACATCATGTATCTTGCTCACTGATTTTGGTAGAATTCAGTACATATGATCATAGCTTAATCATCATGATATTCACTCATACTGAGTAGTTCCTGTAGAACATTCCTTCTGCAGAATTTACCTTTATCCCAGAATATTATGACATCAGTCATGACATTCGCAAATCTGGTTTTACCAAAAATAATGCCAACAGACAAACACTTACACCGGTTCTTGACGAAAAAAATCCATAGACTGTTGAACATAGGGCGGTGGTCATTTTTTAAGTTTATTAATTTTTTATTGCCAAGGACCGTTGTAATGTACTTGAACGGTAGTTTAAACTGGTCAACTCCAGCAGCATTTATTTCCTGAAACGCAATGCTACGCTGGCGGAGAGCATCAAAAAACCAGCGTTGGAGCTGCTCTTAGGTGCATCGGAGATTGTGGGACCGATGAAAATATATATCATCTGTTTTTTGAGTGTCCTTCTTTTCTAAGTATTTGGTACTACGTTTGCAATTGGATGCGGATATCCACTTCCCTCCATAGAGAAAGTACAACTCATTTTATTCAATTTGAAAGATTGATTGGAGATGATAAGGAAACATCGTCGAAAGTGTGCGTGATTTGATTTGCTTGTATATGGAGTATTTGAAAAGCAAGGAACGGAAAAAAATTGAAACAAAGTGGAAATTGACAAAATGATTGAGAACATTATTGAGTATTTCTGGAGATGGTTGTCAATTAAAAATCCTGATGTAAAATTCAATTATGTTCATTAGAAAATTAATCCCAGAGCATGTGTCAGTATTCACGATTCTTAAAGCACTATTATCGGTTCCATGTCATTGTTTCTACACTATTATCAAAGTAACCATGTCAGGGTTCTTGGAATATTTATGTGTACACAGTAGTTCTTTAGTTTAGGACCGTGTGTGCAGTAAAAGACGTTCTTTAACCATAATTTGGATTAAAAATTAATAAATAACTAAATGTATAGTGTAATAGAGTGTCTAGTAAGACCCGTTTTAAAAATATTTAAAGAGTTGTATGGATATTTAAGAAATATGGATGAGTTGTTTAAATAATTGGAAAGTGTGTAATAATATAAAAAATTACGTGAGATCCATTTAAAGAATCCAAATAAGTGTAATGGATATTAATGCTCTTAGTATTTGATTTGTATGGTCTCGGTTAGGTGCATCGCGCGATATTGTCTCATGGACTGTTTCCTCCACCCATTGTTTGCTTCAGCTATAGGCCGTCTTCTGTTTTCAGCGCTGAGGTGGTTAAATCGCGGTGGTCGACGGCTCTGTTGGCCTCGCCTGTTCTTTTTTCAGTCTGCTGTTTCTCGATTTGGTCTATGTTGTTTTCAGTTAGATTTTTTCTGTTTTGGCTGGTGAAAGTCCTGTATCTGTTTCTGCCTGTGGTGCAGATCTTATTCTTCTCGTAGATGTTTGCACCTCTGGTGCTACATTAAAATAAATTTTGGCTGTTTACAAAAATAAACAAATCCAAACAAAATAAAGCATATTCCCTTTTCAAATTTAATCACACGGTATATACACGTGGCCAAATCTATGAACTTAACCAATTTACACGACTCACACGTGTGTCCCACAACACCTCACATTTCTCTCCTTCTCTCTCCATCACTCCGAACATGCCGTAACCTAACCAGAAACAGAAAAGGAAAAAAAAAAACAAAAAACTCTCTTTTTTTCTCTACCCAAAAACAAAAAAATCTCACCAAATCAAACCCATAACAAAAAAACTGAATTTTGCGAGCTACCCGTTTCATCACAAACCTTATATTCACCAATTCCACCTTCAATTTTCACTTTCCATTTGATTCATTTTCTTGCCATTATTAGGGTTCGGTCTCTGGTAACCATAACAATGCCGGAGATCGAACACGCGCCGGAAGTAATAGCCCTTTTTGGGAAATACGATTTGGGAAGAGTCGTGGGTTGCGGCGCGTTCGCCAAAGTTCACTACGCGCGCAATATTCAAACGGGACAAGGCGTAGCCGTTAAGATAATCAACAAAAAGAAACTCTCCGGCACCGGTCTCACCGGAAACGTGAAACGCGAAATCACGATCATGAGTCGTCTTCATCACCCTCACATCGTTCGTCTTCACGAAGTTTTAGCCACGAAAACAAAAATCTACTTCATCATGGATTTCGTTCGTGGTGGTGAGCTTTTCGCGAAGATCTCAAAGGGGAGATTCAGTGAAGATCTCAGCCGTCGGTATTTTCATCAGTTAATCTCCGCCGTTGGATATTGTCACTCGCGTGGTGTTTTTCATCGTGATCTTAAACCGGAGAATCTTCTGTTGGATGAGAATGGGAAATTAAAGGTTTCGGATTTCGGGTTAAGTGCGGTTACGGATCAGATCCGACCCGATGGGTTGCTTCATACGCTTTGTGGGACACCGGCTTACGTGGCACCGGAGATTCTCGCTAAGAGAGGATATGATGGAGCTAAGGTTGATGTTTGGTCGTGTGGTGTTGTTTTGTTTGTTCTTGCTGCTGGGTATCTTCCGTTTAATGATCAGAATTTGATGGTGATGTATAGGAAAATCTATAAAGGTGAATTCCGGTGTCCGCGATGGATGTCACCGGATCTTCGAAGATTTTTATCGAAATTGCTGGATACGAACCCGGAAACCCGGATCACCGTCGAAGAAATGACCCGGGATCCGTGGTTTAGAAAAGGGTATAAGGAAATTAAGTTTCATGAAGAGGATTATGGGTCGGATCATGGGCATGGAGTTGGGATCGGGTGTAAGGGTGATGGGTCGGAGGTGTTGAATTTGAATGCTTTTGATATCATATCGTTTTCATCGGGTTTGGATTTATCCGGGTTGTTTGGGGAATTTGATGGGGCGGAGAGGTTTGTTTTAAGGGAGTTGCCGGAGAGGATAATTGATGTTGTGGAGGAAGTTGGAGCGGCGGAGGGAATGGGAGTGAGGTGGAAGAAGGAATGTGGGGTTGAGTTGGAAGGGTTGAATGGTAATTTCGGAATTGAGATTGAGGTTTACCGGCTGACGGCGGAGGTGGCGATGGTTGAGGTTAGGAGGAGAGGATGTGATGCGGCGGCGTTTAGTGATTTGTGGGATGTTAAGCTTAAGCCTCAGTTGCTTTCAGGTGGTGCAACGACGTCGTATCAGCTTGAAAGTGAACCTGAATCACCGGTTGCCTGTGACTGACATTAAATTGGGTTAAGTTCAGATTTAAAATACAAAACTGTACAAAGGTTAAAGAAAAGCATAGGAATGAAAAATACATTGAATATGAGGATTGGTGGGGTAGGTTTATTGAACATGGAAGATTCGATGGTAGTGGTTATTATATGTATTTTTTTTTATTTGATGAATGTTTTGGTTGTGTACATTATTAAATATTAAATATAAATATTTAAGGTTTTTGTTTTGGTCCACATAATGAATGTGTACAAGTATAGTTAAGTTGTCCCTCCGTCCCATATTATATTATAGGTTTAAATACAATTTCCCCTTATTTTATATTTTTTTTGGATTTTGGTCCTCCTATGTTAAAAACTATTTATTTTTTTGGATTTTAGTCCTCTTATATTAAAAACTATTTATGTTAGAGGATTTTAGTCCCTTTATTTCATATTTTAAAGGATTTTAGTCCCCTCAATTCTAAATATCTAAATGCATTTTCTGATGACATGCCAGTAATTTTTTATGATGTAGTATTGTTTAGGTATTATTATACTTATTTTATTTTCCTAGTCATATTAGATAATATTTTTAATTAGATTATATATATTATTATAAAAACACAAAAACATTTTTTAATAAAAATTGTTAATGTTATGTTTAAAACATTAAAAAAAATATATTTATTCTTCTTCAAAGTTATTTTTTTTCTTTCCCTCAAAGTGAACTTTAGAATAGAAAGTTTTTCTTCTTCAACGAGTTGGTCATAGAAATTCATTTTATCCACTGTGCATTTTTTGTTTCCTCCATTCGCACCGGTCTCCTCCCTCTTCTCCACAGTTCATTGCGGTTTCTGACATCACCGATTTTGTGTTTTTAGAAAATGACACCACCCTTGTATGTTTCAAGGTAACGTGTTATTTCTTCATGTTGTTGTTATTTAATGTTGCAATAACATGGTATTTGTGGTCCTGTTTTTTCTGTTGTTGTGGTCCTTGATGTGGCCCCTTAATGTTTTGTGTAGGCCAGCAGAGACACAAATGATCAGAATTCAAATTCATCATAGGGGAGAGTTTGTCACTCATCCTGTTTTGTGGTATGTTGATGAAATTGTGACTGGATTGGGAATGGAACGTTGACTTAATGTCGTATATGTATGTTGAACATTTGATAAAAAGTGAAGGTCATTCGAATATAAAGTTTCTTTGAAATTGGAACCCTAGGTTTCCTTTTGCTAGAGGCCTTAGACATTTGAATAATGACAATGATATTTTAACTTTAATTGAAGATGTTAAAGGATTTAAGGTAATTGATATATCTGTTGAACACAATGTTGACATATCTGATGTGGTTGAAGATACTAGTGGTGTTAATGTAGAAGGTTCTAATAGTGTTAATGTACAAGGTTCTAATGGTATGGATGTGGAAGGAGATGCTAGTGGTGTTAATGTGGAAGTGTGATGCGGTGGGAGAACTGACTTGAGGTTTTGCGTTTGTGTTCGCAAATGTTGCGGTTAGCAAGAGTCGCCATCGACTTTTCTTTTATCCAAAAGGAAAGGTAAAAAAGCACAGGAAAGACCTTTGAGATGTTTTCTTGAGTTCGGGGAGTAGATTATGAAAAGGGAAGGTGCTAGCACCCTTTTCATCCATGGTTTTCCATGGGCTCTTAGTTACTTGTTAAGATCACTTGCTTTGTTTTGTTTGAAATGGTGTTTGGTGTGGTTTTGAAAGTATTTTGTAAAAGGTGTCATTGTTCAGGCAATCTTTGTAATGATTCTCGTTCGTAAGAATGTATACAAAGATGTTTGTCTTTTGAAAATGTTTTTAATGTTTGTAAGATGCTTTGAAATGTGTGTGTGTTTGTTTTTGAAAATAGCAAGGATTGTTTTGAAATGGAGCAAGTAACTAGAAGGTATCTACCTACTCAAATGTCTTTCTTGTGCATTTTTATTCCTTTGACATTGTTGACTTATCATTGATTTGGTAAGCAACCCTATCTTTGGATGTAAATGGGACGGGCGTGGGTCATCGTATAACCATGATAGCAATGTTGCCAAGTATCTTAGCATTTTTGAGGGACCAAGATCATTTTGTTTAGGCAACTTTTGAATAGCGTCATCGAGGGACTATGATCTTATATTTGTTTTGTTTTTCCAAGATACTTCGCATGCGTAACATTGCCATTTTATTTTAGGCAACCAAGTGGGAGAAACCCTAAGGGTGCTTGTGTGCAAAGTGTGTCATTTTCATGCTTTTGTCTTGCATTTAGGATTTTCTATTTTGCTTTGTTTTTGTTCTTGTCATGCAAACCCTAATTTACTAATCATGGTATAAAAGCGATAAATTGCGTAAAATAAACTAAGCTATTACAACAATTTTTTATGGGAGGGGGGAATACAAGTTTGAATGGGGATTTTGCACAAATATAAACCTAAATATATTATTACAACCAAATCGAATATTACGCGAATTAAATAAATATAAGACAAATATTTAAAATACAATGCAATGTTTATGTTAAAAAAATGTTTTATGTTTGGTTTTTGTATGAGAAAAATAATTAATTCAAACCCTAGAAAAAATAATATTATTTTTGGAGGGGTTTAAAACCCTAGTTTTTTTAATTAAAAGAAAATAATATTCTATATTTACTAACTTGTATATTTTTGTATAAAAAATAATAAATAATATTATGTTTAAATATTAAAAATTAAATATGTATAGAAAATAAGTATTTATGAGTATAAATAGTATAATAAAAATATTAAGTATTTTTAAATATATTTACAAGTTATTTAAGAAAATAAAATCTATTTATCAAAATAAACTAATTTTTATGTAAAAAAATAATTAAAAAAATAAAATAAAATTGCAAAAATAAAGAAATTATTTTTAGGATTTTTTATTATTCAGAAAAAATAATCAAAAGCAATAAATATAAAAATATGAAAAATATAAAAATCAAACAGGGGGTGTAATAGTAAGTCAGGGGGTGCAAATAGCAAAAACAAAAAGGGCCCAGGCGCCAAAAAGCCCAAGACACTTCATCCCTGTCCTTCGTCCAAGCTTCCTGCGCGCGTTTTAGTTCAAACCTGTATCTTGCTTATGCTTGCATAAAAACAAAAACTCATAACATGAAAAATGTGGCATTTGAGCTCACGATTCCAACCATATAAATTATGTAACCTAACTCCTAAAGGTCAAGGAGAATTTTGGAACCCCTAATTCGTGACCAAACTTTTTCAGAGTTTTAAATCTTCAAATTCTCTTAGCACAAGTAATATAAATGAAAAGTAATGATATGTACAACTTCGTTATGATGAGAGCTACATTTTTTTCTTCACAAATCGTGGCTTGAGGTTGTCTATTCATAGAGATAGAGTTTGAAAAAATATCTCTTTCAGCTGGATTCGAGTAGGGCAATGTAGGGACTTTAATGGAGGCCTGATGATTGTTTGAGCTTCCTTGAATTTCCCTGAAGCTATTCCAATGCTTATCTTGCTTTGAGGATGGCTGGAACTCTCTGGATAAGTCAAGCTGCAAGCTTCCTAAGTGAAAATGGTGGATGCTGAAACAAGGGTTACATAACCAGGGTGATGGCTTGGATTGCTTTGATATGATGTATAGAAGGTGTTTGAAGTGATTAAACACAAAACGCACGAGCCAAATGAGAGTTGGTTGTGCTTTTGCAGAATCTGAGTTTTTGGACAGTTTTGTGGAGTTTTTGAATTTCAGAGTGTTTCAAGTCCAAACCAAACGTGCTATGCCTTGTAACAAGTTTGTATATTTGTATAGAAATGATACAAAGTTAGCCCTTACTAGTTGTGCAAGCTTTGGACCTTTTTGCAACTTTTCTTGCATTTGAAGTAAAGTGACAAGACCAATGCTAAATACTTATACTAGCTTGCTTGAGGGCTGATAAGAGTTGATACACATTGCTTGATACCTGTAGAAATTGCTTGCACCAAGGGGACAAGTCCAATGCTCAAGATTGACAAAATTGCAAAAGTTCATCTTTATGAAAATGGCATTGTGAACTTTTTGCCCAAAATGGAAATGCATCTTGTGTAAAGCTTCAAAAGCAAAGATAAAGGCTTTAGCTTCTGAGTATGCATTCAATTATGGAGTGTATAGCAAGCTTAGGACCTGTAAAGCAATATACAACAAGCATAGATTTGATTTGCAACTTGATGCTATGTGAAAATGCTTGATCAAAAGTGAGAAAATACCAACTTCCCTTCTTCGATTCTCCCTACTCAAAAATGATCTTGGAGAGTTCTTGGACATTTTGGAAATATTACAATGTGATATATAATCCATCTTTGAAATGAAATTTGAGATAACTCTTGGAACTAGGTGAAAAATGTCCATGAAGTTGGGTCCAAAACCTGCCTAAATTAGGGCAAAATTTCACTAAGTTATTTAGTTCATGGACCTATATTCACAAATTCATAACTTGAGATCCAAGCATCTTTTGGGAAAAGTTTGTGAAGCAAAGTTTTAGATTTCATGGAGTACTACAACTTTCATGTTAGAAGTTTCCTTTGAATCAAAATGCATCATGGTGAAAAAGTGGTGCAAAGTTGAGAAAAAATAAGAAAAAATTTATACTTAGAAAAATTCTAAGTTATGAAAATTTTCAAATTAAAACCCTAATTTTCAAATTTGATTTTCTTGGTGAACAAGTTTCATATTTTGACATATCTTGATGAATTATGACCCTTGGCACTTGATTTTGACTAAAAAGTCAAAGTTTGACTTTTCAGTGTATAGTTAACTTTTGATCAGTTGACTACAAATTTCATCTGTCAATCCAATGAACTTGAGATATTTTGAACCATGTAATTAGATCAAGATGATGCCATTGAATCCTTGAAATCATGCTTAAACTCAATTGGTTATTGGCTAGTTTAAAAATCAGAAATTACCCTTTCTCAGTCAAAACCCTAATTTTGACCATTTTACCCTTTTGATGATTTGATCAAATTTCTTGAGGAGTTGTGATCCAAACTTGATCAAATGGT